AGAAGGTGATGAAGCACCCCCCCCCCAGGGGATAGCCACACAATTCCTTCTCATTCTTCTCCTGGAATTTTGGGCACGCATGCACATGCGTGCACACACACACACACACACACACACACATGTGCCTGGTGTGTTTTTTAATCTGTCAGGTCCAGAACTTGAACTGCACACTTAGCCATGTTGGATCTAGCTGCCTTAACCCCATGCCACTGGCTGACCTGCCAAAACTTAACTTTGATGGCGTGATACAGAATACATATAGAGGCAACTTAAATTTTAACTGGCTTGTAAATCTTTGCTAACCAACTAAATTATCTTTCTTTCTAAACCTGTTTTTGGCAAACTTTTTCTGTCCAAGGCCAAACAATAAATACTATAGGCTCTGGTGGGACAAGGTAAAATCTAGGGTATTGTGTATGCATTTCTATAAGAAGAGAGAACTCCTGGGCTGCCCCACCCTGTATGTCTGGGAGTGGAGTGTGTCTAGGTGGTGAGTGTGCTTCGTGCTCAGTTGCCATCAGCTGAGGCGTTCTCAGAAAGAGGAGCCTGGTGTGGGACGTATGGGGTCCTGGAATCATTTTACCCTCTCTTCCAGTGATACCTAGATCCTGGCTTGCCCTCCCCCTTTTTTGAAGGGCTTACCTTTTCAACTCGGGTAGCTGGCTTGAGGTGAGGCAATTCAGGGACCTGCCTGCTCTAGTCTGAAACTCTACCACTCAGTGTCCATCAGTTACCACCAGTGGAATCTCCAATATTCAGGTCCTGATGAATGTAGGCCCTGACAGCTAAAGGCGTGGCTGTCAATCAGGGAGACAGGAACTGGGAACAGAGGGTGGAGGAAAGGGGCCAGAGTGGATACTCTAGCGTGGTCTGTGTGCCGCACAATGCTAGCCTCTGCAAGAGGTGTCCATGGGCCATGTAGAATAGGCAGCAAAGCAGACTCGGTCATAGGTTGCCTCCACTGGCTCTAGCCTTTGTACTTTCCAGCTTGGTGTGTGCCAGAGTAGCAATTGCATACAGTCATGTCTTAGGGCAGGCCAACTAGCCATGCTGCTTCCCTTGCAGGATCAAGCCTGAAGATGCCATGGACTTCGGCATTTCGCTCCTCTTCTATGGCCTCTACTATGGAGTTCTGGAGCGGGACTTTGCAGAGATGTGTGCAGACTACATGGCATCTACCATAGGGGTGAGTTCACCTGGGCTCTTACTACTGCCTCCTGTCACTTCCATGTTGTGCAGGCCAGTATCGCTTGATCAATGGAAGAGAAAGGCACTCAGGTGAGATCGGGCACATAACATTCTTCAAAATATGTATGCACAGAGATCCCTTCCTTAAAATTTGGAAAGCCAGAGCTCAGATGTATCCTAGAATTTTTAACTGCAGGACCATTATGGAGAGAAGCACTTTACCCAGCAGGAAATTAACATTTGTTCAGCAAGTACCATTTAATGCCTCTTTTTGCTGGGCACTAGGCTATAGGCCGGAATTATAAATGTGTGCAAACATCAACATGGTCTTTGCCCAAATGGGACTTTTATCTCTAGTGGGAGAGATGGATAATAAAGTAATAAACCCCAAAATAAACATACAGTTACAACTTTACATGTACTATGAAAGAAAGACTCGTGAAGCTTTGAATAAATGTAACAGTGGCATTTGACTTAGACTTGGGGCTGGAAGATGGCTTCCCTGAAGCAGCGACTGTTGAGCTGACTCGAACCTTAAATAGGAGTTAAGTAGACAAAGTAGGATGTGAAAAGTGTAGGTAGATGGGGAATCTAGGATGGCAAAACAAAAGGCAAGGTATGCAGGACACAAGAATTGGGAAATTATTTGCTGAGAACATATATGTTGACATGCTTGATTGAGCCAATGCACAGTGTATTTTGGATGGAAAATTCACTTGTGTGTTGTGATGGGGAAAAAAAATTATAATAAAAAACTATAAAAAAAAAGAGAGAAGAGGATAAAGATAGCAAGTGAACAATAGAGAGGATGTTAGTGAGAAACAGATATGGTTTATTATCTGTTGATGATGACAAGTATAGTATTCTCAACTGGACTGGTCTGAGAAGTATTTCATGATGGGTAAAGTCTTTTAACAAGCAAAATGAGAAATAGTGATTGACTGTTTTAAAAAATTATAATAATAATTATTATTATTGGGAAAAACATAAAGACTTTGAATGATAAAGCGGGGAGATCGATGCCTCTGTATTGACTGACATGCATGGCATTCCCTTTTGAAAAAGCAATGGAAGTCAATGTAAAGTTATATGTAATCCAATGTAATATAAAGAAGATTATGATGATAATAAAATTTAAAAAAAAAGTGTAGGTAGAGAAAATAGCGTGTGTGACAGTCCTGTTATGAGAGACGGGGTAGACGTTTTTGAGGAACTGGTATGGTTATATGGCTAAGAATGTGGTGGAAATGTCTGGAGAAATAGTTGAGGGCTAGGCTAGAAAAAAACCTCAGGCAAATTAAAGATTAAAATTTTTATATTAAACTCACTAGGAAGATAAGATAGAGAATGGTTTTATTTTCAGATTCAAATTTTGAAAAGATCATTCTGAATTGGACCCATGGTCTGGTTTTCTTCCTTTTTTAAAAAAGATATTTATTATTAATTTAATTTTATTTATTGTTACTATTTAATTTGACCAGAGAGAGAAGGAAAGTGAGAAAGCAAGTTGCCAGGTCTGGGACTCAAACCACAAGCCAGCCATGTGGGAGTCCAGCACCTTAACCACCACACAACCTGCCAGCCGTGCCCATGGTCTAGTTTTAAGGGAGCCAGATCCCACATGGTTCAACTGTGGTTCAAATCCTGGCCTGTGGCTTGAAAGATGCTCTAGGCGTGTTTGTGTGTATGCTGCATGTGTGCCCCAAATCCTAACAGAATGAAGAGATTGAATAGAAGGGAGTGTGGCCTAACCACACTCCAGTGGGGGATGCTTTGTCCCTTTCCCTTGCTCTTTCTGTCTCTGGCAATTGCACATACCCTCTGGCAATTTAAGAGAGAGAGAGAGGGAGAGGGAGGGAGGGAGGGAGGAAAGAAAGGAAAGAAAAAAAGAAAAGAAAAGGAAAGAAAGGAAGGAAGGAAGGAAGGAAGGAAGGAAGGAAGAAAGAAAGAAAGAAAGAAAGAAAGAAAAGAGGAGATTACTCTGGCTGCTGGGTGGAAAACAAATTAAAGTGGACCATTTAGGACTTTTTAAGAGATATTTGCTAGGGCCAGCAGCTGACGTGGTAGTTGAGCTGCTGGACTCCCAGATGGCCAGGACCTGGACCTGGCAGCTTGAAAATCATGCTGGCCAGGGACTAGCAGTTAGCACAATGGCTATGTCGCTGGACTCCCATGTAGTCGACTGCGGTTCAAGTCCCAGACCTGGCGACTTAAACTCACGATGGGCGCATGTGTGTGCGTGGCCAAGATCCCGAGAGGAGAATGAAGGAGAAGGGATTGTGGTGTGGCCATCCCCCCTGGGGGGCAATTTCTTGCTTTCTGTCTCTCTCTGTCTTTCTGTTGAGTGCACATGCCCTATAGCAAAAACCTCTCCAAAAAAAAAAAAAAGAAAAAAAAATAATACTGGCAAAAAAAAAAAAAAAAAAAAAAAAAAAAAAAAAAATCATACTGGCAAAAAAAAAAAAAAAAAAAAGAAAGAAAGAAAATCATGCTGGCACATGAGCCTGTGTGCCTAAAATCCCGAGAGGAGCATAGAGGAGAAAGGATTGAGGTGTGGCCATCCCCATCCCCCCGGGGGGGGGGTGATTTGTTACTTTCCCTCTCTGTGTCTCTCTCCTGCAAGTGGACATACCCTATGACAAAAAAAAAAAAAAAGGCTACCCATTTTAGAGGAGCTGCTCCCATGTCCGAAGGAATGTGACCATGTTGTCCTTAACTGCAGACTGGCAGTGTGCTATGTGGGAGGCAGAGGGGTTTCTAGGAAGAATAGGATGCTTGCGACAGTGTTGGGTGAGTCACCAGGAGTTAGTTCACTGATGGTTTACCACGGCAGGTATTGCCATGACTGACTAAGCCTCTGCTAGGGCTTAGATGCCAGCAGTTCAGACCAGACAGGGATGTGGTACAGGGCCTCCAGCGTCAGATAAAAGGATGGTTTGCTTTACCTTTATAGTTCTTCCCAACCCTTCTAGAATTCCAGTAATTCTTTTTACATTTGAGTGTTTGGGCTAGTCAACCTTGCTCTACTTGGGAATACCCGGGGCCCTGAAGCACAGCAAACTGGATTCTGGGAATATCCCTGTTCTGGGAAACAGAACCTGTTCGATGCTTCAAGGGAGCCAGGAAATTCCAGCCTTCCCTGTATTCAGTGGCTGACTGACTCATTTGTTTATTCAAGCAACATCTATCGAACATCTACAAAGGACACCATGACCAGGTGCAGCTTTTACTAGCACCGCCTCTGCCTACTTCTAGTAACAGCTGTAGTCCATTTTTAAAAAATTGTGATAAGGGAACCAGCAGTTAGTGTAATGGCTATGTTGCTGGACTCACATATGGTCAATCGCGGTTCACGTCCCGGACCTGGTGGCTTAAAACTCATGCCGGGCTCATGTGCGTGCATGTCCAAGATCCCGAGAGGAGAATGGAGGAGAAGGGATTGCGGCGTGATCATCCCCCCTGGGGGGTGATTTCTCGCTTTCTGTCTCTAATGTCTCTCTCTGTCTGTCTGGCGAGCACACGTGCCCTATAGCAAAAACCTCTCCAAAAAAAAAAATTGTGATAAAATATGTATAACATGAAATTTTCCATCTTAGCCATTCTAAAATGTACAGTTCAGTGACTCTAGGTATATTTACCTTGTCCTGCAACATTCCTGCCATCTTCTTCTAGAAGGCTTGTCTCACAACACTGATGCTCTAAAGCTATTAAAAAGTAAATCCTCAGGACCAGCAGGTGTTATGGTGGTTGAGGCGCTGGACACTCCACCATGGTTGACCGTAGTTCAAGTTCTGGACTTGGTGGCTTGCCTT